AGGAGAGTTGGTGATCTCTTGGACAAATCCCCGAAGGTGCCAAGATAGGTTCATCATGAGCAAGAAGGAACAAGGGAAAACAGGAGGTTTTCCCCGTGGATCGACCCGTGACGAGATCCTATTCCCGGGCCCTCAACAAATATCTTGTAACGCATTCTTGGTTTTAGGCCCCAGTTATACTGAGGGGCCAATTGTACTCTGTATTCTGGTTCATTTTAATAATATTTACCTTACCTTTTAAAAAAAAAAAAAGGGGTCCCCCTTTTTCTTTAAAAGGTAAAGTACTACGGTGTATTACTGTCAAAAAGTATGGTTTTTTGATAAGTCTGTCAAAAAGTGTGGTTCCAAAAGTTTTGAATATTCCCCATCAATAACCATGGAGATTTTCCCTGCTGAAATTGTTATCCAATATCTAATTTCTTTCTGCAGTTTCCAACAATAAGCAGACAGATTTTTCCTGTTCAAACTGCTAACATTTTTTTTCAAGGAATCATTTTGCCTTCTGAGGAATGTGTAAGACATGGCAAATTTTAATACTGATGAAAAGAAGACAGCAAGTATAGGTCATTTCACTACAAATAGTAGAGCTTACTCACTTTATAAACCTAAAATTAAGGAGTGACTGCTGGAATTCGAGCCCAGGTCTCTCCTCTACAGCCTCAACATCCACCATTTGGTAAGAAAAACAATAGGAAAGAAAAGAACACCTTGTATAGACACTATATTATTTAGCATTTTAAATACAACATAGGTAGCACTTCTCGACTCTAGTCCTTGCAAAACCAAAGATGTCAATTACAATAAGTTACAAGCTAGAGAAAGTCAAGAATCAAAGTTCACAAAGACCTCGGACAGCAACAACAGTCCATTATTTGTTTCCATGGCAATTATAACTAATGCGCTTACCTATAGATCCTCTATTGTTTAAACGAGAAGAGGACCCTGTAGGGACGGTAGCTGGTTGGATTCAGTACAGATTCGAGTCAACCCCAAACAGGTAAGAGTGGCTTCATTCTGATAAATCACCGAATTGACCTGGGAGATGAAAAACCCAGTAAGTAGTAAGAATGCCGGTTTCAGCTCAAGCTGAAGCGGACCCAAAATCGGCATAATGCTAATAGAGAACATCAGATATATCAAGGAACCACAACATATATTCACACCTAAATAGATGAAACCAATCAACATCCAGACAAAAAGAATGCTCTAACTTTCTAATCACCATACAAAAGTTCAAATCAAACTAGCTATACCCCTGGTCCGGCAAACAAATTGTGGTTTCAAGTTCAAAGTAGCAAACATGAATTAAACAAGAAATTGTTGACAAAAAAATTAGTGAAGGTCCGTGACGGACCAAACAAGAATTCCAGCATTCATGACGGACCAAACAAGAATTCAAGCATTCAACAATTTCAAGAAAAACCGAGAATGATTTGATTCATGGAGATGTCAAACATCCTTCTTTTTCCCAAAAAGTCAAGACCTCGAAGCAGATTTCATAGTAAAATGCGACAAAAAAAAAAAGAAGAAGAAGAAGAAGAAGATTAAAAGGACAAATACCTGGGACTGGTTAGGTTCGACAGGATCGATTGACGTCCTCGCAGAGGATGGGTAAGATAGATTGCAATTTAGAAATAAACCCTAAAAGGGATAACCCTAGAGAACCACAGAAACTCGTCGGTTGTTTTTTCTGGTGGGTAGGCAAAGGCAATTCACCGCGAAGAGACGAAGAAGACTTTTTTGTGCTTCCGAGTCACGAATAAAATGCATGGCATCATCAATTGAAAATGAATTATAGGTTGTTTGTTTTGGAGTTTGGTCAGTTTTTTAAGCAACCTTCGCTGGGGCCCTGGCCCCTGGGGGAGTTGAGTTGAGGCACGTTTAACACGTATTGCTTTTGGTGCTGGACTGGGCTGGACTGGACTGGACTGGACAGTGGACGATACATCGTTTTGTCGCATTGCATCTCAGAGCAGTTCTGGTCGGGACCCCATTTTTGTAGCCTAGCTTATCCTGGCCCATTATTGTCTATTATTGCTGAGTTGAGTATTTAATTTAATTGACAATGACAAGCTTTTTCTCAACTCAACTCGGCAAAGTTGTCTTAAGTCACACTGGCATCTGGTACTAGGGTGTTAACGGTCCAGACCGCCAAATCTTTGGTCTGGTCATAAAAATGGTTTGGTTCTGTTTGGGATTCTTTAAACTTTTGGTTTATTGTTTTCAGTTCAGCTTTCTGAAATTTAAGGAACCAAACCAAACTATATTAATTAATAATAGGTAAAGAACTCTTGAAAGTTGAAACTATATTTGATGATTAAAATTCTAACCAAATTTATTATTTAGGCTCAGTTTGGGAAGAGTTGAAATACAATTTTGAATGCAAAACCTTGCATACAATATTTCTAAACCTTGTATTTGCATGTACATATCTGCATTTGCACTATTTCCAAACTAAGGAGTACAAGTACACATACAAATATATAGAGTGTAAAACGTTGTATTTGTAATATGTACTCTTTCCAAATTGAGCCCTAAACAAACATATATATTGTTTGGACTTTCTAATTGGGTTAAAGCTCAATAGAATAGTCCAAACTAAATTAGAAATCGCACCAAACCATAATAAAATGGTTTGGTTTGATTTAATTTCCATACCCAAACTGTTTTGATTTGGTCTGAAAAATTCTCAGACTGTATTTTATTAGTTTGGCCTGAGATCTTCTTCCAACTGCATCAAATTGAACCATGAGCACCCCTATCAGGCAAAAGCAGGTGAGTTCGGATCAGCTACCAACACAGTCACAACGTCGTCCCAACCTGCTATTGCAGCCATATATTGGGAGCATTTCTCCCTATGAACGAGAAGGGAGATGCTCCCAATGTGTGGCTGCAGTGGCCTATTGGGACAGTGTTGGAAACATCTTGTTGGTAATAGATCACTACCCAAAGCAGGTTTCTTTTTTGGAGATGGAATCTCCTGCCAACAAAACATACTCCAACCCCCTACCAATTTGATCTAACACAAAAGTGGAACCTAATATGTATGAGTATGAGATGTGCGGTGTTAGATGATGTTGGTAAGCTGTTGGCAGATGATCTGAACTCTCCTTTTTCCCTTTTAAATATCCTCAACGACTGCCTGGAAAGCCCAAGCTATCAATATTGCAACCCACCAAAAATCCTACGAAACTGAAAAGTCCTTTTTGACAAGGTTCCTTCTCCTTCTCTCAACCTTTGTAGAATAGGTTATAGGAAAAAAATTTGGCTGTTGGTGGCCTGTTGAGAACGTTTTTGGAGATGACACGTTACCATGGATAGGGTAAAAGAACAAATTGCTCACAATATTCTGTTCACCAAAGAGAAAAATACGGGACTGAATGGGTTGACATGTCATGCCTAAAAACTTTACTAACAGCCTAGGCTGTTGCCCCCAAAAGCCAAAGTTTTATCGGTTATAGCCCTATAAGTATCTTACCGTTTTCCAAATATTATCAGCATCAAATAAAAGTGTAATTTACATAAGTCTCAGTTTGGAAAGAGTATAAATACAAATATGTACAATATAAATACATATAAAATAATACAAAATTGAATGTTTTGCGCTCTACATATTTGCATCTGTACTTTTTTCATGCTATCAAAACAACTCTCTTTAAAGAGTTGTTAAGGCAGTTGATCAAAAAAAAATGTTTTGTTTGCAAATTGCAAACTACATTTCCTCACACCGAGATCTCAACGTTGGCCAAAGAGACCCTAAGTCCAAGTTAAATGAAATGGATCTTCCACTCCACTGCTCAATATCTCAACTTTCTGCAGGTAGAAACAGAGATGATCCATTAAGGGCCCATTTAGCACATCTTTTTGGGAAGATCTTCTGGTAATTCTGACAGTCAAAAGACACATTGAACTTTTGCATGAAGATCTGAGCAGCTCGAAGCTAGTTTGATAGTTTCATGTTATTTTGTGTGTCTTTCCGCGCAAGAATAAAACGTAAAAGACACGAAAAGTTTCATTTGGAGCTTCTCGAAGTCAGCCCAAAATGGGTTTTTCACGTCTTTTCGGCACTTTGGCTTTTGGCAGCTAGATCTTTCGCAAATCAAACAGAAATAGACCGAAAATCAGTCTGCTAGATTGTAAACAGCCAAAAGATTGCGTAGAAAGACACACCAAACGGGCCCCAAATAAACTAGAAGTTTTCTTATTGGTAATGTGCATTTAGTTTTGGGAGAATGACGGTTCAGCCCAAGGTCAGAATTTGTAGGCCCAAAATACTGTTGGGATAAATGCCAGCTCGGAATTGAAGCCAATTTATGGGCGGGCATTAGTGCATAGAGTGTGAATTGTTAACATTTTGAATATTTATAGCTCTACAGTGGAAATCAGAAATCTGCACTGATCGTTATCTTATTCCAATAACATGTGGCTCCGACCAACTAGGGCCCACCATTCCTACTTGTTATAATATATTAGCACTGTTGCAACTGGGACACTATGGTTCTGCATATGATCTCTTCTTTTAGGCCAAGACATACAATTCTGGACAAGGTTAAGGTGGCAGTTAGGCTATATTTGCTTTGATAGTTATCAAGAACTTTCTTTTAATTTTCTGTTTTCTTTTATTTTGTCAATACCAAACATAGCATTAGAGTACACCAAACTCAGCCCATTATCAACTTGGGTACAACCTCAGTAAAGCAAGTTTAAAGTGTTTCAATCTGGGCCTCCAAGAAGGGATATGGTTTTGGGCCCTATAAATCTGAGATCAGATTAGCTGAAGACAATGGCTATGTAGTAGGCTGCCGATTGCCGAACCAGTAATAACATCCCATGCTAGTCATTAAATGCATATGGCTCACAGCTGGTTTCACAGCCATCATGTTCAGCAGATCCAAATTCCGTGAATCTATCAACAATCCGATGTTTACGAGGGCTGGGACCCCGAATGAAGAAGGTTCATATTTGGGATATTACCCATGCTAAGAGATCAGATGATTTTTATCATCATGTTTTGCACATTCTTTCTGAAAATTTGAACTAATTTTTCTCATCTCAATAGAAGCCTGCATTTGTTTCCATGGCAAAGGGTTAAATGTGAAAACTTAACCGAAATATCTTTTTTATTAAGCAATGTTTGGTATTGATGTCATTTTTTGAAAAAATGGCGTCACGTAGGTGCTACATTAGAAAAATTGGTGCTTCAGAAAGAGGCCTCTTATTTGATACCGTTTTTCCAGAAAAAAAATGTTGCTCTAGACCACATCTTAGAAATCGGGAAAGTGTAGTCTAACGAAATGCCAAATTCAATGTTTTCTCAGAAAATAGCCCATTACTACCAGCGGTACAATGATGTGGCATCAATGTGACAGCATCTTGGACGTTAGATAATATAAACCAATGCGGCAATACTGAAAACAGTTCTACAGCACTGGTACCAAATAAAAACAGTGTTGTTTTCCCAAAAAAACAGCATATGTGGCAACAACGTTTCCAAACAAAAATAAACACTGTTTTCACTGTATTCCCAACACTGATGCCAAACACCTATTTAAATACCATTCTCAAGAAAATCATTCATTTTCCTTTTTCAAAATGAGGAAAAGTGTTTGTGTACATGAGAGAGAGAGAGATTATTCTCCTTTTAAATAGGATGGTTTCATGGTGGATAACAAAGCTACTAGCACCTATGTCTCATATATAGAATCTTAACCTTTTCTTAGACTTTTGATGATAAGATGGGTGTCACGGTTTAAATATCCACCTTTAAAAGCAGCATTCCCTCAAGTCAAGGGAGCAAAAGTAAACTCGTATATAATTGCAATTATCATTCAAGCTAATTTTTAGCCCCATTTGTCTTTTCGAAGGGCCCATTTTGGGCCCATTTATAGGTCTGAATTAATCATATCAAAACAGGCCAGTTAGGGGACATTGATCAGGTCCAAGCTATGGCCATCCACAATGGTTAGTTGAGATAAAGTCAAGAGATGGGGATTAGTTGATTGGATTCTGATATAAACGTGAGAAATTGGGAGCTCAATTTCAACCAAACTTCAAATCCCTGTCATTATAGCTTAAGTGGTTATTACTTTATCTTCTCATGATATCACACAATTCTGATTAATGCATTAACCATAGCTCTATATAAATAAGCTAAACAATCTTCTATTAGTAAAGAGACAGAATATAATAAACGCTGGTCAGGGTGGGGAGTTTTTTTCTTTTTAATTTATTAGTATCGTCCAAAAGGAGAATCAATGGATCAAAATTCTCTATATAATCACCACAATATCCTCTTTCAAAGTTAAAACTCTGCAATTTGAATTGAAAGGTGATGAAAATTAAAGTTTTTCTATCAGTTGCAATTAGAGCATCCATGCTAACAAGACAAAGCCTTTTATTTCTATATGATTGCAATTGTTTTGCTGGTAGCACCACTGAGTATATTTTACTTTGTCTCTCCTTTCTTTTGATTATTATATGATATATGTATGAAGGGGAGGAGGATAAGGAGATTTGGTGAGTCAGCATCCACTATATAATGAATTCTGTCAAATTCAAAGATGATTTGCATCTTAATTTGATACCAACCATCCAAAGCAAAAGGTGATAATGGGCTTTGGCACTGGTTGATATTAGACCTGGCAAGTAGCAAGGCGCCTCAATTAGAATTGAGAGATATGTGACTGCAATATACGGCAAATAAAGAGTGAATAGGAAATCTAGACTCGCTTATCTGATTTTAATCAGCAGATATGCACACAACACACACAACCAGACTTTGA